ATTGATTAGAATTAAAAAGAAATTTGAATGGAGAACACTTTCCGTGTGATTGTAGTAAGTCTGTTTAATACGGTAAAATACAAATCATTTGTATTGTAAAATACAATCGTTTTTCAGGGAAGTACTCAGTTTGCTCTTGATATGCATTTCTGATACTCTTTCTGCTTCTTAGACTAACATTCTTCCATGATTTTGTTAAAGACTGAATAACTTTACATCATTCTTAGTCAGACTTTCTTCTAAGGCAAATGCTGCCCTTGAGCAGAAAAAGAAGAGGCAAATGAGACAATCTAAGGACAAAATAATTTGTAGAATTGTAGCAAAGGCTACCATCCACGATGAGCTGCAATGTCATGGGAAATAACTCAGTGGCTCTTGGTGTCAGCTAAACTCTGTTCCTACAGAAGTCAGTGTGGAGCACTTCTGTCAATTACTGACAAAATAAAAAGGCTGCAGCCTTCTGAAGTTGCAGCCCTGATGTATGTCTGCTCATAGAGGTGTGTAAAAGAACCCAAGATGGAAGGCCAAGCTAGAAGAAGAACAGGTCTCAAGGTCTTCTGGCTTCCCAAAGCTAGTACCTGCTGGGGGTCCTTATTTATTTTTGTGGTCCCTATTTGTAAGTTTAACAGTCTTGAGGGAAGAGATTCAAACGGGCCACAACTTATAAGTGTTATTTTCTTTCCCTGGCATGTGAATAATCTGTCATCTTCTTCTGTGCCCAGGTGTTGTGTTTCAGTGCTGGGGGCAGGTGTGACACCAGTCATCTGCAGTCATGCTCTGTGGCTGTCGCAGGATGTCTGCCACCCCAGGGCCAGGAGAAATACAGCCAGGCCTCAGCTCAGCTCAGGCTCAGCTATAAAGAATTCAGATGGCCCTTGTGGTGTGCAAAGCCCCATTTGAGAAAGTCATAAAGGAGGCAGGCAGGTGTAATAAAGCTCAAGACAAAGTGCTGACCTTCCCTTCACAGGAGAGCAGGAAGGCGGCCCCAGGGGCTGGGCTGGAAGAAATTGTTTTGATGTGGTAGTTTGACTTAATTTTCTGTGTTTGAAAGGTAAAGTTGAGCCAAGAGACAAATCTGAGCTTGGTGGTAAATCCCTGAGAAGCATGAGATATCCAGCATGAATAGGAGGAAACTCAAGCAGTATTTTGTTTAAACCAAACTGGGCATGTTGTGCTATGCTAAGCCTTTTGTCAGTCTGTACATGACTGGAGCCTTGCAACAAAAGGCGGGGAAGGTAGTAAGAAAGTAACTAACAATTAAAAAGTGCATTCATCCATCTATTGCTGTGCAATTTTATGCAAATCTTCCTTGTATAGTCAGTAACTAATTACATGAGGTTTTTATAGTAGTAGAAATTGAGAGCTTGGACAAAGAGATGGAAAGATTTGCATCAAGAAATAATTTAGCTAATAAGAATTGAACAAAAAATAATTTGGATATGAGCCCTTATGTAGAATCATAGAATTATCTACATGTGTGTGTGTATATATATATGTATATGCTAATAATGGTATTTGAGCAATGCCATTAAAAGGCTTGTTCAAACTTCTTTTGTCCCTTACGTGTGTTGGGATTTTTGCATAGATTTTTTCTACTGAAGGATCCTGAAATAAAACAGGCAAGCATATTTAGGCCTAAATGTGAATCTGAATTAAGTAGTATCAGTGGAGTATTCCAAAAGAGGAAGACTTTTTCTCCTCTGTATCAGCTGCTATTAGTTCTTAGTGTTTATCTGCATTGTCACCAGGCCTCTGAGCTCATTATTTACTTGCTTTGTAAGCATCCAAGAGATGTAAGGCTTGGAGTAGAAAGAGTACCCTGAATTAACTTGACAGATATTTATGGGGAACCACTCCCAAACATGAATCAGCATGAGAGAAAGCATGAATGTTCCACCTTGGAAAATGCCATGGCTAAGTGAGGGTTCTGTTGTTGTTTTGGGCTGAGGGATGGCATTTTCATTGGTTAACATGAAATGGGAGGGAGACAGATATGCTAAGAAAAGCTGTGAAGATAATTACCACACGCTTTTGTTTTCCTGGAATGGGGACAAAGGAGGTGCAAAAACTAAAGGGTGGGGAACCAAGCCTTGTGGAAATGTTCAGGAAGCGTTGAGTAGTAAACAGTACTTACTGGAACTTGGAATTACAGCTTGGCAAGGGCAATGAGGTTTTAGTTAGGTGAACCTGCATACTGAATGCAGAGCATGGAGTACAAGGCAGGAGGAGAGATCTGCACACGTCAGTATTGCTGCTCAGAACTGAAATACAGGAGCTTTTAACTGAATGTTCCTATTGCATTATTTTTCAAACCGAGGCTCTCAAAAAGCCATGAGTGATTGTAGCTATGCTTTTAGCCTTGTTGGCTTTGATCTGAGGTACAAAGAAGATTTTTTTCATGTAGGCAAGGCAGACCCTTCATAAACCATAGTGGGGAAAAAGAAGTGTAATTGCTCTCAACTTTTGCAGCGAGTTTCTGGTGCAGTAAAGCCTTGCAGGGATGTACTATTTGTCGAGGCAGCTTGTGCCTGACAGCTTGTTGATCCTGTTGATCAAGTCAAGGACTGCAGCCAGAATAATTGCTTGAAATTTTCTGGATACAGAAGTGCCAGTGAGGAGTGCTGCCCTGTGCTTTTAAAAGGTTGTTCCTAAGGGGCAGAATCAGAACAGTCTTGTAGTATAACAGATGCACATTTATGGATAAATGTCAAGGATAGCACTAATTCTCCTGAGAAGTGTGTAGCAGTGTTACCGCATCACTGCTTACAGCCAGCATTGCTGTAGCATTGTTTAGCTCTAAAATGTTAATGGAAAAAGATACAGTAGGAGGAAAAGAGTGCAGAAATTATTTCCTCCTTAAAAATGTAACACATTTTATGTGGTGAACTGTAACTAAGCACACCCCACATAACAGGCAAGATTTGATAGTTTTTTAAAGCTCTTCAGACACATTTTTTTAAATTATAGTGTAGCTGTCTATGTCTTGTGCTAATAATTATGCCCAGATTTGTCCTTGTTACCCTTCTCGTTGCCTTTCCCTATCAAAACTAGGTTTTGGGGATTTGCAAATTTACCTCTTTTTAAAAGCACAGATTACTGCATATGTTTTAAATCTCTTTGAAGTTAAGAATAAACCCAACAGTTTTATTTTTAGAGGTTTGTTGGGGTTTTTTTGATTGCAAATCAAGTATTACTCAAAATTTCTAGAAATTTGCCCTTGGTCTTGCTACTGTTTTAGGGTTTTTGTTCCAGGCTTTCTGAAATATGTGTAAGTAGTCTTTTTTTTCTTTCCTGTGTTTTGGACAGTTAGCTTAATTAATAATATGACATATAGAAAGGATCTCAGGAAAATACTTCTGAAGTATTTAGAGAGTGCACGTTATTGTAAAATGTGCTGTATAATTAGGCATGTGTTAAAATACTGGGAGAATAACCTGAATCTGAGATGATCCTAATGATGAAAGGGAGATTAAATCAAAGATTTATAATGCTGGCCTGGAGGTGTTTGCTAACTACAGAAAATATATACAGAGTGTTTCAGTACTCTAATGATTTCCATATTATAGCTGGCTGAGAAACATTACGATATGTGCAGTCTTAAATCCATTTCCTTGGATTATAAATTAGTTCACAATTGCATGCTGATAGCAGAGCTGCACATTGCGTGTACATCTCTTGGGTAATGAGAACTGCATCTCTTGTGAATGCAGAATACTGACAGCAGCATTCAGAATCTGACATGCTGCAGGCAGGCTGCATGTAGGCTTTCACATACAAAATGCATCACATTGAATGGAAGTTCAGTTGAGAAATGCAGAAGTGACATTTAATGTAAATTATTTAGAAAAAAAAAATGTATGGAGGTGCCATTTTTATTAATAAATTTTCTCACTAGGTCAGAACTACAGATACGTGACCACAAGCAGCAGTAAAAGAAAGAAACTTCTAACAGTCTGAGAAGCTGGTGGAAGAAAAGTATTTTAGTGCCCTAAATATGAATATACTTCATTTCCAGTATATATTCTAAAAGATATATGTAGTTATATTGCTGTGTTAAGTCTAAATACCTAGCTGAAAATATTTTTGGCTGAGAGGCCCTTAAAGAATCAAGCATTGGACTGAATTTTATGACACTCCCTATGCATAGAGAGTTCTTAAATCTGCATCTACCTTTCTATGAATTAGAAAGAATCCCTTGGGAAAAAAGTTAATTCACACAGAAAAAAAACCAAAACAAAACAAAAGCATGTACTTAAGGTTGTCTTAGATAGAAAAGCATAACCATTATATACTTCCAAAAAAAGAATTAGAATTGTGGCTTTGAAATGTGTGTGAAAAACAGTGACTTAATTTGCAAGAGTATGTATGTGTACATATCTATTTATCTTCCATTATATTCTTATAAATAGTAGAAACAATAAGTGAGATTATTGAGTAGAGTCTTTATAATGCCTTTCAAACATTTTGTCCTAGCAGATCAGTAGGATGAAAGAAGTACTCTTGTTTCGTGGATTTTTTTTGTTTGTTTTTTAAAGCATGTCAGTCTTCAACAGAAACTAGCGTGAACAAAATCTAGTGTAGTAAAATACTTCAGAGTTAAATGTTCTTCAGTGTTTCTGTTTATAAATGACAGTCATTTTGAAAGTCTTTTTTCAAAGCTCTGAAATGTTTTTAGCCTCTAGCTCTCATTGACTTGGATGAATTAATATTGGAGTTCAGATGCTAATTTATGTGACTGCTTTTGAAAACAAATTTAGGTCAAATCCTGTTTCTGTAGGAGTATCCATTAACTCTGTCATTAACTCCAGGAAATCTTTCTGTTCACAGCCTCTGTTCTTTAACTGACAATTAATTTTTTCTGACTGAGTCACCTGCCTTCAAGTATGGAGTTGCCAAATAAAGAGCTTTCTTTAAGAGGCAAGGATACTTTGTTCATGCCGTGCAATGAATTCTGTAGAAATCTAGCATCTGAATGATGGATTTACTTATTATTTTTCCAGGGAAATTCCGGCCTGGGGTTCAGTATTGCTGGAGGAACAGATAACCCACACATTGGGGATGATCCTGGGATATTCATTACTAAGATCATACCAGGAGGAGCTGCAGCAGAGGATGGAAGACTCAGGTAAAAACAAAATTAGTACATGTGTTTGGAAACAAAATACATAATTATTATAATTGTTCTCCGGGAGCCACATGCCAACTGGATCTTTCATGGGTTCAGGGGAAGTAAATGACATGACTGGAGTCTCTTTTCTGCTAAGAGAGCTGATTGAAGGAGCTTAGAGCAACTGAATAAGGGTAGTTAAATCCTGTATAATAGAAGGCATTTGATGGTGCCACCTCCTTCTTAGTACCAGGTATTTACTTTAGTGCAAAAGGTAAGGTGGGGGCAGCAGGAGGGAACCTGAATATCAACATGTAACTCTTCTCTGCCTGGCCTTTGTGTGTTCATGGATGAAGAACTACACATTGGTCTTAGACATTAGGCTGTCAAGACTTCCCAAATTACAACACCATTGCTAAATAATCATAGCTCTTTGTAGATGGTTCCTGTTATTTGGCTGCAGTAGTGAGATGTGTTTACTGCTGTTTCCAAGCATTATTTTGTTCCATGAGGATGTGATGGCTGTGCTGTGTCTTCTGAGTCTTCTCCAGAGTGGTCTGTTGCTTTAGATCCTGAAACAAGCATACATATTACTTGATGGGGTTCTCAAATACGTGGCAGCATCTCCCTTAAACAAGAGGAACCACAGAAGTCCTTGTGCTTGTCTTTCCTTATGGTCTGAATGCAGAAATGCTTCCATCTATCACAGAGGCTGCCACCTTACTGTCAGTTGTGCAGCCTCCTAATGCTCCAAAAAACCAGTTTAACTGGAGAAACTTGGGATAAAATTCTGATGCTTTCATTGTCTCAGCACTGAAATTGGTTCTGAGAGCCTTTGCCAAAAACAGATGGTCTGAAACTCATAAAATGTACCAGATGGTAGCAACATTTTTCCTGAAGCCTTTTCCTTTAATTCGAAGCTAAAAGTAAGGCAAGTTGGCCTGTTTGAAGAGCAAGTTTGGGATATTTCTTATGCCACATTAATAATTTGATTTTGGAAATAATTTTTTTTTTTTTTTACTATGATAGTGATGAGGAGTCATGGTGGTTGGCAGTGCCTGAAGAATTTAGTTTTAACTAAGATTGCAGATAAAAGGAATGGGACTAATATCATGTAACTTCGTGACTAAAATGCAGCTATCTACCCCTAAGCTAGTCTCCCAATAGTGAAGAAAAACCTAAGCATTTCTAGAGTGTGATTCACTTCATACTAAGTCAATGCCTAAAATAGAACAGAAGAATAAAAGAGCCTGTATTTTCATTGGTGACTCAAATGAAAAGGAGTTTCTTTGCCTAGTCCAGCTGTATTGATCTGTACTGTAAATGTCTGCATTAGGCCAGATGAGCTTCATGGAAAACACAGCCTGAAGAAACACCAGTATATGGAAATCATGCTATAGAATTAGACATGATGAACAACATAAAGCTGAAACTGCCTTTCTACTAAAAAGAAATAATTCCTTGCAAAAAACAATGGTACCTTTTTAGTAGAATTTTTAATTACATATGAAAGCTTCTTTAGTTTAAGCTATTAAGAAGACAGAAGCTATTACGGCATTTTGCTATATTTGTAAAAAACCAAATGTTTCATAACTCATCCCTGTATTAAATAACTGCTGTAGATTTAACTCATGATGATATCTATGTTGTTAACATCTTGGAAAGACCTTCTAAACCCACAGAAAGCACCATACTAAAGCAATTCATTACTCTATTTTAAGATTAGACATGGCAAACTTTGTGTTTTGTAATAAAAGTTTAGCAGTACAAGAACAGATATCTTAGTGATAAGACTTATATCATGTTTTAAGCATAGGTTTGGCATGGTCATTCTTTCTACTGTCAGATTTTAGAAAAATTCCTCCTTTCCTTGTTTTATCTGGCAAATGGGTTTCACATGGGATTCACTTTTCTGCAAAATCACAATCCTGTCAGTTTTCAGGAGCACCTGAAAATGTAGTTATCAGTGGTCATTACTGATATGCCTCTGAAGGGCCGTATCCTGGGGCAATCTTCGCTGACTTACACGATAATTAATTTCTCATAAAAAAGAGTTTATCAGTTAGGGCCACTCTATAGGAGCAAAAACTTAAAAACATGCAGTAGCAACTAATAAGAGTAGTGATAGCATAGGTTTCTTAGCAAAAGCCCAATTTTTAATTACCTGAGGAGAGATTGGTGTTTACAGACTGAAAAAATACATACTTTTTGTCTGCTTTTCTTTCACACTCTGCCTGCAGATACTCTACATTATATAGCAATGTGGGCTGTCTGAACTGGCTTCTGTGTCTACTGTCTGGTTTTAATCATAAAAGCCTGTAAAATCACTTCCACTGCATTTTACATGACATCCCTTTGATCTAACTTAGCTGAGTGAAGTTCCTCAAGCAGCAAGACTGTGAAAGCAACCTGTAAGAAATTGACTTCATGCTCCAGACCCTTGGGAATGTTTTACATTAATGTATGGATTGACAGGGGAGGAGTAGGTCAATTGAAGTTTCATGTAAGTCTAACAAAAGCAAATGCAGCCTACTGCATCTGGGAAGGTGTAACTCTCCAGTGATAGATGTATATATATACATATATATATATAAGTACATAAATATCAGGTATAAACACCTGATGGGAGGGAGTGAAGATAAAGAAGCCAGACTTTTATCAGTAGTGTCCAGTGACAGGGCAAGAAGCAATGGACAACAAGCACATGAAATTTCATGTTATCATCAGGAAACTCTTTCTTGTGGGCACAGGTAACTCAGAGAAATTGTGGAGTGTCCGTCCTTGGAGATATTTAAAATCTGATTAAACATATTCCTGGACAGAGAGGGTTTGGGATCTCAAGAGGTGCTTTCCAACTTAAATGACACTCTGATTCTTTGATTTGGCCAGAGCCAGCAGTGTGCTCTGGCAGCACTGAAGACCAGCATCGAGGGGAGCAGAGATGCACAAAGAAAGGATTGGAGGCAGCAGTCACATATTGCAATAAGGAAAATTCCAGTTGTATTCGAGGACAAAAAAGATCTCTTTAATGTCATTGGTGATTCCATGAGATTATGGAATTGCTCTTCTCTAAGAGATTCAAAATTCATCTGGATGAAGTCCTAAGATATATGATTGAACTTTTAAATTGGTCCTGCTTTGGGCAGGAGATTGGACTAAATGACCTCCAAAGGTCCCTTCCAGCCTGAATTTTTCTCTGAATCTGCAGGTTACTCTTCTGAATAAAACCTGTGTGTGAGACTGAAACAAAGGCGGTTACATTCCTGGTGTTTTCCGTTAGTGAAGAACAATGCTTTTATTGTCAGTAGGTACAGTGCATAGTGCAGGTTTTAATCACTTCATGACCCGTATCTCTGCTTAAAACATAGCATTAATTATCAGCCACTTTACACTTCACTCATCTTAACACAAATTTCCCCTTTTTGAGTGACTTCCTGAACTTCCAAAAATCAGAGAAGCACATAACCACAGGATATCTCAAGTTGGAAGTGACTGTAAGGATAATTGTGTCCTCCCAATGCAAACTCCCTGCTTATCTCAGGACTACTACTAAAACTAAAGCATGTGACTGAGAGCATTGTCCAGATGCTCCTTGAGCTCTGTCAGGTGTGGTGCCACAACCACTTCCCTGGGAATCCTCTTCCAGGGACAGACCATGCTCTGAGTGGAGAATCTTTTCCTCATGTCTAGTCTGAATTTCCCCAGAGCAGCTTCATTCCTTTTTCTCGTGTCCTATTGCCGGTCACCAAAAAGAGGTGACTTGTAGAACTAGTGTAAGAACCATCACACTGCACAATTCACATTTTAGAAGACATTTAGGTCAGTACAGTAACTCCTCATCTTGCAAAAAATATTCTATGAAGTCCATATAATATACAGAAAATAACTTAATAATATAGTAAATAATATAAAATTTATCATTTGGTGGAATTTTAAGAAATATTTTGGATGTAATTACTTAGCTAAATGTGACTATAATAACCTTGGAACTAAATGGAGATTATTTTTTCTCTGAATGCTTCATGCCATGTTTCTCTGAAGATTTCAGTTTCAAGTCAGGGACAGACAGAGAATATAAACCCTCTGAAAGTAGCAGTTATTCCCACTGAGTTGAAGGAGAATTTCTCTCAACAGTTTGATCGTTTAAGACTTTTGATGCATAAAAACTTCTGCTTCTGTCTCATTTATGTTGGCTGTCTGTGGGCAAACATCTACTTTTGAATAAAAAAGCTCTGAATTTAGACTTCTTTTCTTCTCTGTAAGAAAGGGAATTCCAGTAATTATAGTTCAGTGCCTTTTTTTTTTTTTTTTTATATGCGTTTGTGTCAGAGAAAAAAACCCAGTGTTTGTTTCAATTGCCTACATGAAGCAAAGAACTTCAGTAGAATATTCAGTAGTTACTTCTTTTGGTTTATCGATCATAAGTGAACCTCTGGCTTCTAAAAGGCAGCACATATAAAACCATTCATCATTGTGTGAGAACAAGAGTGATCAGCTTATGGAACCAGAAGCACAGTTTAGTGGCAGAACTTGATTGTGGGAGGAAATATCCTAAAAGAATAACACAAAGCTTTCAAGAGCACAGGCTCACAAAATATTAATACATTTTTAACAATCATAAATCAAAACTTTTTGAGTCAAGAATCACTCTTGATGATTATAGTTTCTCACAGTCTAAATTTGATTTTATGGTAGAGATAGCTTTCTCGCCCTACAAGAGTGAGAGGGTCATGAGAGTTCCTTATGTATTGCTATCAAAAATACACTTTTCCTTGAAAAGACAAGTTTGAAAATGAGAGTTTTAAAAGGGCTTGGAAATCTAAAAAAGTGAATAAAAGAATCTTGTATAGAACAAGAATTCAAGTCTTATATTTTATACCAGTCACTTGGTCACAGGAATCTTACTGAACCTGTGATACTAAAGTCAGTTATTGTATATGTGTTGCAATATGAATGAGTTAATTCACAGGACTGTGAGATAGATTTAGACAGTCTTGGGCTTGACTTTCAAGGGTTAA